GTATTTTATTATGAGTAGTATTATATGTTTACTTTCATAAGCAATAGAAGACTTGGCCTATAGTTTTCCAAATAGGAGTTTCTATTTTCTTTTGTTCTTTTTATTTCTGTAGAGTATTTTGTTAAAAAGTTGGCCTGACCTAAGTTTTTCCCCTTTTTAAATGGAAATTTTAAATTTGGTCTTAAATTATTGGGGTTTTAAATTTTCAGCCAAATTATTTAATTCGTTTTACTTTATTTTAAATTTTGTACTCATATGTTTTATTCTATGGCTGTTCACCGCCCTGAGTCCTTCGGGAGTAGGGCGGTATACAAAATGAAATAATAAATAAATAATAAATAAATAAATAAGCACCATTTATTATGACATTGTAGATTACACTTTCTTTAAAACATTCTTTTAGTCAAACAAAAGGTTTAAAAAGAGAAATACACCAGAGAACAAAATAAAGAATAAAGAAAAGAATATATGAATTTAAAGAAAAATACAATCATTTAAAACTCTATATTCAGCTTAATTAGGACAACACTGGTGCAGTTAAAGCTAATCTTAAAAAAAAACATTATTATAGGAATTAATAACTGATTGCTATCCTTTACTAGGTGCTGTAATGGCTCTTTGTTATTGTATTAAATTTTTCAGTAGTGGAAATACTATGTTTGAAAATACTACTGATAAAAAAAGATGCTATTAATTTTGGTCAGTAGTGTTTTGCAATAATAAACCTGACACCTAGTAACAGGAAGTAAAACAGTCTCTTATATTTATTCAACTTCTATTCTTAAGGAGAAATGGATAGTAAAGCAACTTACAACTCCACCAACTGCAAAGGCTACAAAGTATTCAATATAATTTCATTGATCTGTACTGTAGTGGACAATTTTGACTGACTTGCTAAAATAAACTTAAAAATGAATTTATACTACAAGAGTCTCAATAAGCTTAATAAAATTCAAATCATCCTTCCAGAATTTTTCAATATTTTTACTAAAGATATTTACTCTCATACTTATTCTCATTAGAGAATGAGAGAGTAATGAAGGAAAAAAAGAAACTTTTCCAAACTTCTGAAATAATTCTTAGATATGAATTAAATATGCAGTAGATACTAATTTCTCAAGAAGAGTGATGTTGCCGTAACCAACAGGGAATCCAATGTTAATTCAATTTGTAACCATTGAAGTTTATTTTAAAGTTTAATTATATGCATTGTCTTAATGAAAATGTCTTAAGATAATCTTTCACATTTGGTATAAATAAACCAATAGTAGGTTTCAAAACCTGTCGCTACCGGATTGCTCATGGGTGCGTGATCGCATGTACACCGCTTCTGCGCATGTGCATAAGTGTCCGGGCAGGTGGGCGGAGCCTCCTGCCGCCGCCACCAGTTCGCCTGACACAGGGCGAACTGGTAGCAACCCACCACTGAAATAAACCTACATTATGTTTTATATATTGTATGGTTTGCATGAACCTAATTTTTCTATTTGTCAAATGAGTATCTTTTTTCTCTAGGAGCTTGGTGGTTAATATGCAGATCTCGCTTATTTTTCCTCCACAAAAATAACTCCCATGGAATAGATTGGGCAAGTGAATGGGATCATTTCCATGCCCAAAATACTGAGTTTCCTAGTTCCTTTTAAACACTACACCACACTGCCTCTCATTTACACAAATATGAAAAAAACATACTCTGTCTATTCCTTTGTAATAGAATGTTTAAAGACATTTTAAATGTTTTTTTTTACTCAGACCATTAAATTTCTTATTAATTTAATCAAGCAAATCAATTAAATAAATAAATAGGATTATGATGACAATTGCTGGACACTGCAGTGCCCCCCACAACGTCTCTCATATAGGCTAAAGTGCTGATTACCATTTGAAAATTAAGATGGCTAAATTGTTATTATAACTTTTATTAATCTCTATTTCTTGAAATACTGGTATGTTGCTAGTTCCTCTTCCCTTCTTGTACGTCTTGCTTACCTATTTTTTTCCTCAGAACTGATAAGACGAAAGATTTTGTTGAATGGTTGGCTGTGAAAGAGAAAAGAAAAAGAAAGAAAAGTCAAGTCACTCCCACTGTAACTTTTCACAGTGTTTACAAGGTAGGAGTCTTCCATCCCACCCCCTCGGATACACAAAGCAGAGGTCTTACAATCTGCAATCATAGAAACACCCTCAGTAGCAATATATTAAGCAGAAGAGAGCTGGAAGGTACATTGGAGATCTTCTAGTCCAACTCCTTGCTGAAGCAGGAGACCTTGTGCCATTTTAGACAGATGGCTGTCCAGCATTTTCTTTAAAACCTGCAGTGATGAAGCACCTACAACTTCTGATGGCAAGCTGTTCCAATGATTAATTGTGCTCACTGTTTCTCCTTAATTCCAGGTTGCTTCTCTTCTTCATTAGTTTCAAACTATTGTTTCTTCGTTCTTCGTTCTGGTGCTTTGGAAATACATTGACCTTCCTCTCCTTTATGGCAGCCCCTCAAATACTGGAATACTGCTATCATGTCACCCCTAGTCCTTCTTTTCTATAGAATAGCCGTACCCAATTCCTGCAACTGTTCTTCATATGTTTTAGTCTCCAAACCTTTAATCATCTTAGTTGCTCTTCTTTGCACTTTTTCCAAAGTCTGAATATGTTTTTTATAATGTGGTAACCAAAACTGGATGCAGTATTCCAGGTGTAGCCTTACTAAGGCTTTATAAAGTACTTCACATGATTTTGATTCTTTTCCTCTATGCAGGGCCGGATTTAGATGAAAAGAGGCCCTAGGCTATTCCACTTATGAGGCCCTTTCACCTATAGTGAAAGTGTAATTTTAATTTTGCTAACAATTTGAATGTAGGCCCCTCTTGATCTTGAGGCCCTAGGCTGAAGCCTAGTTAGCCTATAGGAAAATCCGGCCCTGCCTCTATGCCTTTATACAACCAAGGATTGTATTAGCTTTTTTGACTGCTGTCGCACACTGCTGGTTCATGTTTAAGTTTAAGTTTAAGTTTAAGTTTAAGTTTAAGTTTAAGTTTAATGTGATTTATATGCCGCCCTATCTCCAATGGACTCAGGGCGGCTCACAACAATAAAATGCACAATTGCATATTTAACACGTTTAAGTGTTGGCCCACTAGGATTCCAAGGTCCCTGTCACAGTTACTATTTTTAAGCCAGGTTTCACCTAATCTGTACTCGTATCTTTGGTTTTTCCTGCCTAGGTGCCTAGGTGTAGAAAAAACAATATTGTGCCTGCTAAAATCTGCTGCTTAAAGTTGATGGGGAAGAAAATAAATATTCAACTTTCATTTTCCTTTAAATCTTGCTTGATTTATATATTACTCCTATAACATTCCAAGTTCACAATATTTGGAATAAACATTTCATTGCCACAATAATGTTACACTTTATTACTTTGTATTATAGAAGCATTCCAGCTTCAATGCAATTATGATTCTGCCTTCCATGCATTTACAATTTGAATTTTAGCCATACTTTTTTCAACCATAGGCATAGATCACACATCTGAATGCCATTCTTCAAGTGCTAAATTGTCTAAAAGTTTCTGTTGTTAATTTATTATAGATCTGGCAGCTAAAAAAAAAGACTATGCTGCTTATTAACTTAGCTTAGTGTATCTCTTTCAAACATATGTAATAACCTCAACTCCTGGATCCTTTTTTTTTTTACATTTAATACAGTAAATCTTACTTCTAGGAAGTTTCTGCTAGAAGGATACATATTTCCTGAACTCAAAAACAAAACTAAAAAAACGGTCCCAAAACACCCACTTTAAATGGGACGGCTTCCAAATATTTGGAACTGCAGCTTTAGAGTGTAAACCGTGCAGCATACAAATATACAAATTTAATGTGTTCCTGCTTTTTTGTGCAGTGAACTTCTGTGGCCTGAGGAAGGATGTCTTAATCTATCGATTGATGTCAGTATTCTTTTAAAGAGTTTTATTTGTAAATCATTAAGATTAGGAAACTATGAGAAACGATACACAAAAGAAGTTTCTGCTATTAGTTATCCTTCATGCAAAACACACCCAGTATAAACAGTTTTAATATTTTCTTCGAAGGAATACAGGAGGGTATGTCCATTTTTAAAACAACTTCATTAATAATGCTGAAAAGAAAAGTGATATGTTTCTTTTTTGTGTTACTTTTTGTTGTATGTATATGTTTGATTTTTAATGTGTTTTTAAAGTGTTTAAAATAAAAAACTTTTTTAAAAAAAATATTGCTACTATTGAAGGAATGCAGACGGAGACTGTTGGCATGTGCCGATAGGTTGGGGGAAGAAGGCAAAATTGTTAGCGAGGAAGGCAGGAACGTGGACCAGAAAAGACCATGGAAAACAGGACAGGTGACAGAGAAAAAGATTCGGATCAAAAAATGGTTAATTCCTCCCCAAATTTAAAATGTTTTCCCCCTTTTTTAAGAAAAACCTTCCTCCCCCCCCCCCCCCCACGACCCCCCCCAAGAAGCGGATCCTTCCAGCCTTTCAAAGTCCCGCTTGATTCCTCTCAAAAACTCAAATGCTTTCAACAAAACAGTTCGCTTTTGTGAGAGCCCTGGCATTGTTCTGTTCTGTTCTGTTCTGTTTTGTTCTGGAGGAGGGGCAAACTTCAAACCCGTAATTAAAACAGCTAGCAAGGAGATGAGGAGTGGAGGAATCTGGCTCGGGATCACCAAGCCCACCCTGCCTTTGTATAATTCTTCTTCTTCCTTAAATCCTCCAAGGAAAGATCTTCTCGCTGGTTCCTTTACCTCTAGAAGCCAATCAGTTCTGAGGGTCGGAGAGAGAGAGAGAGAGAGAGAGAGAGAGAGAGAGAGAGAGAGAGAGAGATCCTAATCTCCACCCAAGCTACTCCGGCCGTGGCATTATTATTATTGATGATGATGTTGATGATTTTTTAATTTGCGCCCGCCTCCTTTTGGGCGGGGCTAAATTCTAGTACACTCGGGAGGGCGAGAGTAGGGAGGGGGGGGGGGGGTGGCGGGAGAGAGGAAGGGATTGCCTGGCTGGCTGGCGAGCCCAGCCGAGCGGCTTTCTACTACCCTAATCCTCGCCAAGGACAGGCTGGCTGCAAGCGCGGCTAGCGGTCGCGCGCCATCGTGCATGCGCGCGCTGGACCGACCCAAGCAGATGGAATGTGGCGCGAGGTAAGTCCGGGGGGGTCGACGGTGTGGGGGAGGGGGGGGGGGGGAGAGGGAGAGGGAGAGGGAAAGAAAGAGAGGGGGGGGGGGGGGAGGAAAAAAAAAAAAAGAAAGCCCCGAAACCCATTTTGGGAACACAAATCCCCAGTCCTCTTCGCTAAAAACAGCGTTATTCCCGAGAGAGAGAGAGAGGGGGGGGGAAGTGTGAGGTAAGGGGCTCTTAATTCGAAGCGGCGAGTTTCTATGCCCCCCCCCCCCGTCTCTCCCCCCCTCCCTCCCGTAATCTCCTTTCTGTGAGTTTGGAATTGCGGAGAGTTGAGGCAGACGTGCGCGCGCGCGCGCGCGTATGCGTGTGGATGTCCTGTTATTTGGCCCCCTCCCTCTCAGAAGGGAAGCGACGGGGAGGTGGGGGGGGAGGAGATAGTCCTCGGTTCCCTGTATTCCACCCCCCCCCCCCCCCCCCCCGCCTCCCAGCCCTTCGCGAATTGAAACCCGGAGGGGAAAAAAAAAATCAAAAGCGCTGGTGGGAGCCCCCTTCTTGCCGGGCGCAGAGTGAGGCGCCGGCGTCATCGATCTTTTTTCCTGCCGATCTTGTGATCCGCTTCGGCAAAAGGGCGCGTCGCAACTCGTGGAAAAGAGAGTTGTGTTGTGACTCTCCGCGCTTTTCAGACAAAAAGTGCGGCGATGGGACAGGAGGGAGGGAGGGAGGGAGGGAGAGGGGGCGACGAGACGGCGAGAGACTCCGCCCCCGCGGCCAAAGTGGCCTCGGCTTTCCCATGCATTGAAGACTAACCGCCCCCCCCGCCCCCCCCGAGGGCTTTATGTGACCCGTATGCGGGCTGCCTCTCAGTTCTGCAACTAGGTTCCCGAGGGAGGAATTTGCATTTATGCAGTCCCAAACCCCATCCTGGAGCTCTTTGCTACAAAACGTTTGCGTTAAAACCGGGCAAATACTCTCAGCTAAACTTCTCCAGCTTTTGTAAATCTCTAATACAGGAAGGAGGTTTGTCAATACGTTTGAGGCGCTAAAAAGCATTGCCAGCATTTGACTGGGTAGGATTAAAGTTTCAAGGGAAAGTTAAATTGCATCGGGGAAAAGTTTGAGCCTCAATTCTCGAAACTGGTTTTCTCTTCTCTATCTACCCTAAACGGTAAACAAAACTACACAGATTTTGGATTTTTTTATTTCTCTTTAGGGTAGCTCCTTGTAATGCTTATTTAATGGATGAGGTGATGGTATCTTTAATAAGTAGGTTTAACTTGTGTATTGGAATGGGAAAAGTAGCTGCCCGGTGCTAAAATAAATGATAGTAGGTGTAAATTTCATTTTAAAATGTTAAAAACATAAATTAGGAATGGCTACTGATGAAAAGTTAAAGCACCGTGGGAAAAAGAATATTCATACAACAATAATCATTCCTAAATTGCCTAGTAATAGATATTTTACTTTAACAGAACCCTAGTTATTCCAGAACAAGGTTGTGCATGGTACAGTGTCAGCACTTTTCATATCAATTATGATTACGAGACTGGACAGTCACAGTGCATTATTTCTACAGTTATTACTGAAAACGGAATGTTTTATTTTGATCAAACTTTCTGGTTTAATTTAGACATGCCTAATAAAAATTAGGGAACCTTAACCATAAGTTGTGGTATAGTGTCAGAATTGATAAACCCTTTTTTGTATAAGTTGGCAGGTCACAACTGGAAAGCATAAAGTTGTTTGTAACTCCTTGTTTGTGGAAATCGATTTCAGATGATGGCCAGATTAACAAGTCAGAATAATAATTACTGTTTTTCATCCAAAGAATTGTAGAAAAGTAGAGAAATATAGAGAGAAAGCCATGAATGCAATTGCTGAGCGGCTAGAAAATGAAAACAAATTGTTTTCACCTTAGTTTCGATTCTGAGCAATGAGTCGCTCAACACAAAGTTATGATATTTGAAGTGAGCTATTATCTTGCCTGTTGTTCAGCACTGAATCACTAGAATTTCATCACTTATTTCTACTGGCTGCCTCACAGATGTCACTATTCTAGGGAGAGACACACAAACTCACTCATTCACATACACAGACACACCTTTGATGTTGTTCCTGGAATCTATTGGAGCCACTCTCCAGGTTAGTTGCAGCCCCGAGTGCTCCTACCATCGTTGGGGACCACTTTAGCTTTTACTTTCCACATCATCTGTAGTTCCTCCTTCAGGCCCTGGTACTTCTCCAGCTTCTCATATTCCCTCTTTCTGATGTTGCTGTCATTTGGTATCACTACATCTAGGCATTGCTAAAAGACAGTGTGCGTGTATGTTACATTATAAGTGTATGTCTACCTGTCTCTGTGTGTACACACACACACACACTTAAAGTAGCTGCCTGTTTCCACAGTTAAAATACAACTAATGGCATAAATACACCTTTGAGACTTTGAGCAGTCACAGTGTAGATTGTCCATGTCTTCTGTAGTTAGAATTTTGATGACATACTTTTCAATTAACATATAATAAAAACTGCAGAATGGATACGCTTGCTGATTAGAATCAGAAGCATAAATCATACTTGAAAATGACATGAATAGCTGACCTCACAGAATGATGGATAATGCAGTTCATTAGTGCTATAGATAGATGAGTACATTTTCCAAGGCACTATTACAGATATGTCAACAATATCTCTAGCAGCTTTGTTATAGGGAAATTTTTCAACAAATTGTATTGTGATTTGAAAGAAAAATAGATTCAAGTTTGGTAATGAGCATATCAGGAAGGTTCAAGACATCCAGGAAGTATTACATAGTATTCTCACCTGAATATGATAGAGATTCTTTCTTCTACAATAGACAGACAAGGTATTAATATTTTATTTAACTCATAAACAGTTATTAATTTAATAGTTAAATTTACATACCGGTAGTTAAACTATGAAAATCCAGAGCTTTAAAAGAAAATCTGCCTTTTTTTCACATGGTATTAGAATAATATTTATTTATCACATTTATAGACCATCAATCCCTAAGGTTTCTTAGTGGTTTATATGGTTAAAAAAAACAATATACAGAAAAAGTATAGAACTAAAAGGTCAAACCAAAGAAAACAGAATAAAATTAATAAAACCAAATTTAATAGATCAACCTTTTCTTCACCTCTTTAAATACCTTTCGTGGTCACAGACCTTAACCACGCTTTAACTCAAGATTTAAATTAATTTAAACTCAAGATTTAAATTGTAACATTTCTTCAAGCCTTCGCGGACTCCCTGCGGCTCCCCCTGGGTTTACTGACCACAGGTTGAGAACTATTGCTCTGGATAACTAAAACCCAAGCTATGTACATCTTAAATTTCACCCAGAAGCCTATTGGTAACTAGTGTATGTCCCTCAACATTGGTGTAACATGCTTTAAGCAGTACCTTCAAAGGCAACTGTATGTAGTAGAGGATGTTGCAATATTCTAAGTGGATGATGACAAAGGCATGAGGCACTGTAGGAAAGTTTTCCCACCCCAGATAAGGGCCCATTTTTTTCCCAATCAGACCCCTCTGGAACAGCCTTCATCTGCTGTTTAGTAAGACTTGAGAATCCAGGAGTTGTGGAGCTCCTGCTTCAAGCATAGTTCCATTCTATCTAGAGATAATACTGGAGCAGGCAGCAACTCTTCTCTTGCTAGCATAGGTAGTCTTCGAATTTGACACCCCTGGCTTACAGAGATGAGCCATTGAGGGGGATGATTTTGTCACGGGCCCAAGTTGCCTCATGATAGCAGCAGCAAGCTAAGCCTTCAATATATGCACCCACCTATTTGTCAGCAAACTCCCCATATTATATCAAACCTAAACTAGCCAATGTGAGCCAACTAGCTCACACAGCAGCTTTATGTGTTCTATCTAATCCAAAATACCAAGAATTTGTAATTTCATATTATTCAAAGCATTTTGTTTTTATATTTAGCTGAAGTGGGGTACTAGGTTGGGTAAAACCATGAAGATGTTTTGTGAAAAAAATGTTCATTTTGTGCATGTGTGTTTGTATATTGTTGATATCAGATAAATGAAGTCACACAAGTGCTTTCTCTTCATTTGGAGGAAGCTTCTATTCAGAGCTACTTGGGTTAGTGTTTGGTCTCTTACATAACTAATTTGAAAGTACTTGGACAAATTGTTCACACTGCTGAATAGCCTTTGTGCATATTTGGCTACACATTAGCTTCACAATTTCTCTTAATCATGGGATGCATACAGATAAGCCTTTTCAGTATTGCTTTCGGTATGTGTTTGGTTATCTGTTCTGTTAATAGGAATCACACATATCCCAAGTCCGTTATCAATAGAAGAAAAGGGAACCCAAAGCAAATGTCTATGGAGATTCTTAGTCATCCAGATCATGATTGTCCCAAAGGTGCTTTTTCAAGAGGCAACTTCACTTTCTTAAGAAAAAGCATCTTTGTGAATCCAAAGTAACTTATTTAATTTTCATAAATTGCCTTCATATTGAACTTAGTCACAGAAATATACTACTTTAGTTCTAAAAACATCCTTCTTTAACTCTGGTGTTTTTTTCATCATAAAAGAATGAGACCTTTATTGTACATTTATAGTCTGCTGACACAAATGTTCTGAATCTTCCTCAGTCACAATTTATAAGCTATTTTAACTTTTGACACTTTAATGCATTTTGTTATTCCCAAATTGACACATTTTAATTCTGCATTATTGATTGTACAGGGTAGTGGTAATTACAGAAGTGAGGCACTTATGAGGAATATGTTGTATAACATAGTTGTTAACTATTGTTGGTTTCTGCTTAATTGTTTCTATGTATGTATGTATGTATGTATGTATGTATGTATGTATGTATGTATGTAATTTATATGCCACCCTTCTCCCGTAGGACTCAGGGAGGCTTACAAAAACAACAGAGAATTACATAAACAGTTAAGATCAATTTAAAATTAATTAATTAATTCTTTAGTATTAGGAAGCATTGTATTCACAAAAAAGGCTTATTTGT